CCCCCGCGCACCTTGGTGCAGAATGCGCTGTTCTTGGCCGCGCCCAGCTGGCAGCACTGCTCGTTGAGGTCCCGCATGATGGCCACCTCCTCCTTGTCCAGCAGGGCAGTGGCCAGGGGAGTGTGCACCTGGGGGGACGGAGGGCACCCGGGCAGGTGTATGTCATGCTCAGGCACCAGGCGGGTTGAAGGGGTCGCTGCGCTGGAAGGGCGAATCGGCACGCATACGCGCAGCTACCTGTGAACAATGGTTTGCGCATGCACAGCTCCCCTAGCAAACAATTTATGCGCGTGTGGGCTGCAAAAAGGGCGCCGAATGGACCGTGCTGCCCCTCACGTTGAGGCTGAAGAAGGTGACGTCGTTGCTGTTGCTGGTGATGTTGACTGTGTAGGTGCCCGCGTTGAAAAGCAGGTACTCCGCCGCCACGGCTGGGAGGAGGGCGCGCGCGTCGAGGTGGCAACACGTGTCGACGGGGGTAATGACACAGAATGGCGCCCAGTGAAGTCGGTGATCAATGCACCCCCACTGGCGTGAAACGCGCGCTGTGATGCCGTGCTGCACACAGCGCGACCCGACCGCCTCTGCCGCGGCGTATTAATGCCAGCCACCTCTGTTATAACTCGACGATGCACGGCGGCTGCGCAGCGGAAGACATGTCGGCGCCGCGAGTGCTCACCAATGAACTCCTCCGAGTTGAAGAGGGTCGAATACAAGGTGCCGCCCGCAGAGTCATACGACGGCGGAGGGGTGTGCTTTGGCGTGACTAGGGCCCTGCGGCAGTGGCAATGTTTGAGCCATGGACGAGTGCGCAGTCAGCTGCGTCGGCCGGCAGCCAGGTCTATGGGCTGGGGTGCTTTGCCTGGTCTGCTGCTGCGATAGCGTGGAGGCTGCAGTGCGGGACTGCGTGCCGCAGCACGCGGCGCCTGCCGCACTCCGATCGGCCGCTTGCCCACTCAGAACGGCTGACACCGAGCGTCCGAGCGCCGCCGCACGCCGAGAGCGGGCGGGCAGCCCATGTGGCGATGCAGCGCCGCAACCGCACTGCTGACTGGGAGCAGTGTCGCAGGTCCTCTACCCCCTCGGGCTGCGTTGCCCTCGTCGCCACAAAAAAGCCATCCTAGCAGTGCTGCTTGTACGTGGCTGGAGACCACGAAAGCCCACAGCTGCACAAGTTGAGCTCTTTGAGGCCACACGCGACCACTCCCCCCTTGATGTCACACGCACAGTCGCAATCTCACCGAAATTACCCGTGCGCCGCTGCCAGCCCCCCGCAGCAACACATCCACCACATGCAAAGGAGCCCCTCTGTGGCCGCATCACCCATATCTAGGGCCCAGGGCGTCACTCACATGCGCGCCGAGCCCGCCACCGTGCGCAGCTGCAGCATCAGGTCAAAGTCTCCCAGGGGTGGGTCCATCGGGGTACCCTTGGCCGGGACTGTGAATGTCAGCATCACACTGGGGCCAGGGGGGGGATTTGGGGGGATGGGCAAGATTGGATTGGTGCATGGCCAAATACTGCCAAAGAGCTTTGAGGCAGGATAGTCGCAGGGAGGGGGGTGCAATGTGGCAAAAAAGGGGGTGCTGTGAGGCTGACGTTAGGGGCGGAGATGTAGAGTGAAGTGACAGGACACGAAGAGAAAGGGACAAGCACGAGTGTCACCGTGACAAAATGCCCTGATCAAGTGTGGTGCCATAAGTGCCGCCTGGAGAGACGGACCAGGGCCCAACACCGCAGCGTGGGTGCACCGGTGCCCAGCGAGCAGGCACGCCATGCTATGCCAAGACTCCGACACACCACCCCTGTACCCCCCCAACCGGGCTTTTGCGCAACAGAGTAGCCCTGCTGACCCTGAGTGACACCACACACCAAACAACAGCACAAACAAGAGAGCGGACCCGTTGTTCTCAACCCGCACGTAACCAGCACCGGCCCGAAGAGATTGTTCGCTCTCGTCCCCGCTCCCGCACACCCCCGGTGCAGCGCATCCCTCCTCGGCACCCTTTCCCTGAAGGACAGGCGTCTCCCCCTTCATTAAAAATGCCCCGCTCACGTCTCCTCGGGGCCGATGTCGCTCTGGTAGACGCAGGTGGCGCCAAGGCCGCCCGGCAGGTACTCCGAACTGCCACACCCTGCCACATCGGTCAGGCGCACCGTCCGCACGATCGGCTGCGGCGCCAGCCCACGCGGCGCGCTCGCCTTCGCGGCGACGGGCACCAGAAGGGCTGCAAAGGCAGCCGCTGCCGCGAGGGCGAGGGCGAGCGCGGGCGGCGCGCGGTTGCGCCGCTGCACGCCCATGTCGCTGCTGCTGTGCTGCACCAAGTGTGGTCACGGCGAAGAAGCCCCCCGGGTGCCAATAAAACTGTTGATTTTCGTGTCACACAGGCTCGTCTGAGGCCGATGCTAGGTGGCCCGCGGTGGGGGCGCTTCACTATCACGGAGCCGCGTGTAGAGGAGAGCTCCACGCGGGTGACGGACAAGTTCACAACGTGCAAGGTGATACAATGCTTGCAGTGTTTGTTTTCAAACCGCGCGAGGCTGCGGGGCTTCTGCTGGGAACGAAGGAAGCGGCCTTGTCGCTGTTCCTGGAGGATGCGAATGCCTGGGCGAAGTTCTGCCAGGGTCGATTTTCGGGTGAAATTGCTCCATCCGAGCCTCATAACGTCCGTCAGATTGTAGCCCCATCCCACCGCGGCCGCCGAGTGCAGCGCAGGCAACTGCAAGGAGTGCGTTCCAGCCAACGGCGCAATACAGCAAGTTGGATCAGCAAGGGCCACGATGCGCCCTGCTTTTGACACCCGCAGCTGAATGCGAGTACTTTGACACCAACATGGCGGCTCATGAGGCTGTGGGAAGCCCCTCACTGGGTGGCGAGGGCGGGGCATGAAGTTCCGGCGGCCCGGTGACCGCTGCACAGTGGGCTGGCCGGGGTGAGCGCGCACAGGAACCCACTGTGGCAGAACTCAGTCCGTCTGTGCCCGACGCTCTGTCGGGAAGGATTGTTTGGGCGCCCGTTGTGAGGGAGAGAAGTGCACACCTCCTCAGGCAGGCCCTCTGCCGAATCTGGCAAGCGGCCGGAGGTTGGCCCTGTGCGTTGCCAACCCCAGTTCACGCCTTCCTGCCACGCATGCCGCACATCACGACTGCCCTCTCCGAGCGCATTACGAACTATCGTTGAGCCTGGGGGAGGGGTGAGGGCGGGTTTGAGGGGGTTGAAACGCACTACACTGCACTTGGCAACCACAGAGCACAACCGCAGGTGGGCGCCTGGGTGCTTGTGCAAGCGCGCCTCCGCATCCATAAGCTGCGACACTTGATTTGCTATCGCACCAAACTTGCAACCTGGTTGGCGATTGTGGTTTGGGCGCTGCTTTGAAACTTGCCAGCTCCACGTGGCAGCAGCAGGCCGCGAGGCTGGCAGCTTGGCTTCAAGGATCTGCCTTGCTCTCATCGCACCGATGGCTCTATTGCACTGCTGGATCACAGAGATGATCCAGCCGTGCAACAGAGTCACGGCAAAATGTGTTGTGCGCGCACCTGTATGTGCGCCCATCCTGGCCCAAATTTCACCTGGCGTGCTGGTATGATGCACCATGCCAAAAGCGAACAGCATCACAAGTCAGTAAAGGAAACTCAGACACAGATAAGTTTCTACTTCACATTGATGCACATCATGGTGTCTGACCTACCGGAAACACGATGTAAAGGCATCGGAAGCGGATTGTGCGAACGCGAGAAGGGCAGGGGGACACACAACCGGTTTCCCGCCTCCTGGTAGGTATGGATGCCATCCACCCCAGTGGGGCGCGCGGCAAAGCGACGAGGTCGTTTGTGATTTTGCAGATTCGACAAATATCCACGGATAGTTGCAGCCAGAGGCAGGATGAAGTGAAGGCAAGATGATTTGAAGTTTGGACATGATCTGTTGATGGATTTCAAGGCTGATCACCCAGCAGGCTGGGCACGGTGCTGAGGGACTGTGTGGGGAGGGCAATAGGGAGAACCTGCTGTTAACAGCAGGGGCCTGGGTCTTGCTTGCCCACTCCCTTGATGGGACAAAGACTACCCTCTGTTCACATGGATGCGGTCGTTGGGTGGCTTGTGGGCCCATTATGTCGAGTGCCCAGCGAACGGAAGGCAGCAGAATACCGTGATAGTGTGACCTTCACGACGTCGGTCACCCGCATTCTTGAAAAGCAACCTGGGTCCTTCTGGCGCTGAGCAGAATATACAGTGCACTTTGAGTATCAAGAGCATAGTTGAGACACCAAAGGTGTGAGTTATTGCCCCAAGGACAGCGAAAGTGTGTCCGGTGCCGAACTCCGGAAACGCCGGTATGAAGACGCGGGCGCGTGCTCAGAGACACCCCACAACCCAGGACAGCTCATCAGCATCACTTCAGAAGAAAATGAGCATCGAGCTGCAGGGCGCTGGCGGGACCGCGCCGCCCGCGACCCACGCTTCCGACGAGCCAATGGTCGCACAGTCAGAACAGCCCGGGAATGCACTCCTTTGGAACTCAACAGGCAGCACTGACGACATCGTGACCCTGCTTGTACAGTACACGCTGCTGCTGCACGAGCAAGGCCTGCTGGCCGCCGGGGCTGCTGCTGACGAGGCCACGGCGCGGCAGCTTGTTCAGAAGCTGCAGCCCCACATTGCAACCGCCCCAGCACCGACACGGCTGCAATCAGGCGCACGCCCCACAGCCGGCACGTCATCAACCACACCGCCCCTGGCTGAGGCAGCGGCGGCACCCACCATGGAGGCAGCACCAGTGGCAGCAGCGGCAGCGGCGGTTGAGCCGAACGCGGCAGCTGTTGTGGGTGGCCAGCCCTGCCACCTCCAGCTGCGCCACAGCTGCAGGTGCGTGCGTGATCGCGGGTGGCGGCATTCGCGGCACGCGCTGCAAGAGAACACTGGCCCCGGGCTTCTCCCAACCAGTCTGTTGCTCAAAGTGCAGGGCACCATCCCTACGCACCCCTCACACTCTCACTCTGTCGCGCGTGCTGATGTCAGGTCTGCTGCCTGTGGTAACCTCAGCTGCTCGCTGTGCAAGTTCAACCCAGTCCAGCCGTGCGGCTCGTCCAGCCTGGCCAGCAGGTGAGAGGGCGCTGGTTGTGTGTCTGCGCAGAGGGGTCGACACGCAACTGAGGAGTTGGACACGATGATGCAAGTCCTGTAAGCTCTTGTTGTCAGCCTTGTTCGGCTACCCCTTCCCAGACGTGGCTTTCTCTGCTGCACCTGCTGCTCGAGCGCCCAACTGCCACCCGCTCAGCCCGCAACTCTCACCCCACGCCCCGCATGTCATCATGGCCTCAGGTACCTGGCAGATGATTCCCTGAGGGCCCCGTGCGGCGCGCCTGTCCATGTGACGCTTGCAGCGGAGCGCAGCACATCAGGGGGCGAGCACCTGGTGCAGCTGGACGGCACAGCATTTGAGGTGCGCTGCACTGGTGGCCTTCATTCACAAGACCTGCTCGTGGTCATTGCTCAGAGGTTGAGCACGCCAGCTTGGCCCAGGAGTTTAAATGCAAGAAACCAAAGAGGCAGGGGCGGGCGCAGCAGAGCAAACTGCACCTCCAGCCTGCTCGCCGCTCCCCTGCCCTCACTTATCCACAGCCCACCAGCCTTGCCCATACCATGGACTCCATCTCACCATCATACCCTGGCCGGGTACCCCCTGGTCCCCCACCAATAACGCAGGTCATTGTCATCGATGGCGAGCGCTACGACGGCCTCATGCCCGCGGCCACCAGCTGCGGGGGCGGGCCCCCCCTTCACTTTGACGCCATCCTCCGCGCCTGCGCGGTCGAGCGGCCGCCCAGCGCCGCCAAGGGGCCGCTCATCAAGGCGGAGCCGGGCGTAGCCCTCAGGCACCCGTGCGGCGGCGGTGGCAGCGGCGCCGGCGGCAGCATGCCTGCCAGCAGGAAGAGCAGCAGCCAACAGTCCGACGACGACACAAGCGAGAGCGAAGGCAGTGGCGGCGGCGGCTGCAAGCAGGATGGCGGCGCTGCGGACGATCGAGTGGTGCTGCTGCCCCAGGGCGGGGTGGTGTCGCTGTCCGGGCTGCGCTGCTGCGCGAGCAGCGAGGCGGTGCTGCAGGGCAAGGGCTGCCGCTTCAGGCTGGCGGTGCGCGCCGTCGACGCCGCCACGGGGGCACCCCTCTCAAACGTGAGCCCGGTCGCTTTCCACCTGGCACGTATGCCTATGCAGAGGACGGACCCCTCTCCCCGGGGTGAAGGGGGGGTTGCGCCGGCTGTGCCTCTTGTTTGTGCGCGATCCAAGCCCCTCTGCCAGCGCACCCTCCAATCTGCAGCAGCCGCCCACAGTCAGCACTAATGTTCCACCTCATTCAAATCGCACACACGCACACGTGCCGCCCCTGCAGGTGGGGGCGGTGGTGTCGGATCCCTTCCTGGTGGCCACGCGCCGCATGAAGCAGGCCCTCAAGCGCGACATACCCTGCACCGACGACGAGGTCGGGCGCCTCCGACACATTGGCCGCGCCACCACCGAGAAGCTGCGCCGCCTCGCGGCAGCCGCCGCCGACGAGGGCCTCCCGCTGCCGCTGCCGCCGTCGCTGCACCACGTCGAGCGCGTCGGGCAGTTTGCTGAGCTGGCGGCGCTCGTCGCCGACGACCCGGGGGCGCGCATCCGCCTGGTGCAGCTGCTCAAGCTGAGCAGCAGCAACTGGTCTGAGGCGGTCGCGCACGCGCGGGGCGCCGTGCCGCCCGACGGCCGGCGGCGCGCGTTCGCCGGAGGGCCGCGCGCGGCGGGCCTGACGCTGCTGTTTGAGGCGCGGATGGGGGCGCTGCTGGGTGACGAGGGGCCCGCGGCGGTGGTGTACCCTGATGGAACGGAGGTGGCCGCCAGCAACGCCGACCCCCGGCTCGCGCCGATGCTTCCAGCGCTCAAGGCGCAGGCCCTGCAGCAGTGGCGCCTGGCGGGGCACCCAGGCTGGAGCATCTGGGCGGGCGGTGCAGGGGCTGCGACTGCAGAGGTAGCCGCGGGAACAGGCACGGCGCCGTCACAGGCGCGGATTCCACAGCAGCAGCCTGCTGCAATGCAGGCGGCCCCTACCCAGCAGCAGCAGCAGCAGCAGCAGCAGCAGCAGCAGCAGCAGCAGCAGCAGCAGCAGCTGCAGCTGCAGCGGCAGCAGCAGGAGCGGCAGCAGCAGTTGGTGGCCCAGGCGACTGCCGCGTTGGCCGCAGCTCAGGCGACCGCACAGGCGCACGAGGCGGCTGACCTGGCAGCACGGCAAGCGATCCAGCAAACTGCAACCCAGAAGATTGTGCAGGATCAGCTTGCACAGCAGGCCAAAGAAGCTCAGCAGGCTCAGCAGGCCCAGCAGGCTCAGCAGGCTCAGCAGGCCCAACAAGCTCAGCAGGCTCAGCAGGCCCAGCAGGCCCAGCAGGCGCAAGAGCTGCAGGAGCACCTGAAGCGCGCGCGCAGCGAGACAGCTGAGGGACGCGCTGCCTCCCTGGCCGAGGCGCGCGCCCGGCTGCTGCGCCAGCAGGCGGGTGCTGCCGGGTTTCCTGATGCGCCGCCGCCTGCCAGCGGGGCTGGATCGGAGGAGCAGAGCGGGAATGAGGTGGAGGTTGAGGGTGATGAGGTGGGGGAGAGGGACCGCCTGGCGCTGCTGGCAATGTACAGGGAATGGCAGCAGGCTGGCCCTGACAGCCGCGCAGGCAGCCTTGCGCGGCCTGGGGCGCCGCGAGCGCACGTGGCGGCAGCCGCATCCCGCGAACCAGCGGCGGCGATGACTTTTGTGCCTGTCGTCTATGATCGGCGGGCGGCGGCTGCGGTGGTCGCGCCTGCTGAGCGGCCGCTGCTGCTGCCTGCTGATGTGGAGGCAATCCTTCGGGAGGAAACCGCCCCCACCGCAGCGGCGGCAGCGCGGTCGGCCCCGGCGCTCGTGCAGGGCGTCACAGACCCCGGCGGCAGCCGCGCCGCGGCGTTTGTCCGCTCGCTGTCGGAGCCCTGGTCAGCAATGGAGGCCGCGGCAGCGGCAGCAGCAGCGGCGGCGGCGGCGGGTGGGGCGTATGGGGGGGCGTCGTGGCTGATTGGGGGTCAGGATTCTGAGGCGCTAGGCCGAGCTGAGCTGCTGTGCCGCAGCCTGCGTGACATGTCGTTCGATGCTTGATGTGAAGTGTCACCCCAGGCTGTATGCGCGGTTTCGTGGCCCTAAAACCCCCCCGCATATACGCACAGAGCATTCACGCGTGCTCATGAATGTTGTGGGTGCAGTTTGCACAATGCGGTCGCAATGGGCCTTCCCTCAACGTATGTGATCGCGTCGCTATCTCATCCCGGACCTCCTGTTGCCAAGCTGGTGTTGCCCTCCGTTCAGGATCGTCGCAACCCCTCCCTGCTATGATCACCAAATTCATCGCCTTGTCAAGCCGCAACACTAAAATATCCATCCATGTGCAAGGCACATTTGTGCACGTCGGCGCAGGGCCGTTTCGCAGAGGCCGCAAATCAATCAGCCTGCAAAGGCCGGTACACGATGTTCAATCACCACGTTGCAATCAAAACACACGCGTCAATCCAGAATTTGCTCTTTTGTGGGCCCCATCAACCATGTAACGCCGACGGCAGGGTAGCTGAGCTCACCCGCCACCTACATCAGCCAACCGCACCAACCACCACCCCCCGCGGGGGTCCGTGGACACACCCAGCTTGAGCCATCGGGCCCGATGGACCGAAGGACCGGGAACGCACCAGGAACGCATCCATGTCCAGCTTCTGTTGTTTCCTTCTGTTGCGGGCGAGGCTGCGGGCTGGGACATGGCATGCGTGGGCTCTGTCAGTCAGTTGAAGGTGCGGGTGACGGGGTGGCGGGAAACGACATCTCCATGCGCTTTTGCAGCACCGCTGCCCTTGCCCGTCCATTCCTCGCAGCTCAGAAATAGCGCGTTCGCGTCCGCAACTCTCAGTCACGGTTGCAGTGGAGTTTCGACACACTTCACTCCTGGGGCACTCCCACACGAGATCGCTGGCTAGCCCAGCATGGGGTGGATTTCCTGGACCGTCACGCAGATAGCACTCACCAGCATAGCACTGGGCGCTCTGAAGCGGAACAACATCATCCAGTGAGTGCGCGCTCTCCTCAGTTGTCATTCGGTGCGGGCCGGTCCCGAGGCGAAACCTGGCCGCGCTCATCATCCCACGCCCTGCAGAGTGCAGCCACAGAACATCAAGAACGACAGCTTGCGTGCGGTCGTGGTCCAGGCGGTGAGGCACGAGCAGGAAGCTCTACTGCTGCTGATGCCGCTGCCGCTGCCGCTCCTGCTGCCGCTGCCTGGTTGCTTGCGCCCGCATCACCCACCGGGCTGCATGCATGTATGTGCCGGACATCGTGCGGGCCTGTGAGTGCCGCCATGCGCCTTGTTCGGATCCAGATACGCTTCCATTCAGCTGGGCCCTCCACCAACCCTTTGATCCTTCCCTCCTCTGTTGCCCCCACCTTGACCTCTGCCGCTTACCCCTCTGACCCTTTTTTCCTGAGCTGTGCAGCTCCAGATGGGTGAGGAGATCAACATACTGGCCGAGAAGCTGTTTGCGGGGGTGCAGGAGGAGCTCAACAACAAGGTGCGCGTTGCGCTGGGACGGCAGCTGCGGCGATGGCGACGGCTGCAGCTGAGGCTGCCAGTGCTTTTGTTTTCCGGGGGGGGGGGGGCATGCTTTTGGTCACGCAAGGTGAACTTCGCCAAGTGGACGGTACACCTGTCGGTGTGTAATTCAGTCAACACCACCGCCCTCATTGGGTTCTGCAGGCTCATCCATCATGACAGCAGACCTTGCCCTGCCTGTCGCGCATGGCATCAACACAGCCAATCCTCCGCCCTCGCTTCGCTCTGCCTGTCCGCAGCGGAAGTGAGGTTGTGGCTGCGTTTGGTCAAACAGGCTGTCTGCCATCGGCCTCCTCATGTGCATCCCCGTTGGCTGGCAGCCCCTGCTGCACCCAATGCTGGGCGGCTGCTGGAGCAGGGGTGCTCCTCAGGCGTCACGGCGGCGGTGGCGCCAGCGCACCGACGACAGCAGCAGCGACGCAGGCGGCGCTGACCCGTCGCAGCAGCGGCAGTCGCCGGGACGTGTTGCAGCACCTGGCTGGCTGTTGGACCGATCTCCGGCGGTCCTGCACCCGCAGGACTCCCGCATGTACACAAAATAGCAATGTCACCCGCCGCCGCCGCAGCAGCAGCAGCACACATACGTCCCACGCCGACCCTTGGCAGAACGCTGCAAGCAATTTCTTTTGCGTTTGCCTGGGAGAGAGTAGGCTGTACGGCTGCAGAACGCGTGACCGCTTGCTATTGTAACGCCTTTGCAGCACCAGCCTTCCATCATGGTGTGCTATGGGTCGCGTCAGAGGATTCTCATCAGGCGTGGCACTGCCATCATAAGACGGCACGAGTGCCTCAGGCCCGCTGCAGGGTACACATGCTGCTCGTCACCTTTGCTCCCGTACGCCCCACCGTGTCTCGCAGCCGCCCCTGGCTGGGTCCGGCTCGTTGCACGCGGCGGGCGGGCGGCGTCATGCGGCGAGAGGGGTGCCTGAGGGCGATTCACTCAGCACCGGGTGGGGGGGTGGGGGCAGTGGCTTGCCTTGGGCAGGACGGTTCCCTGTGTATTGTAGACGCCCCGTCACGGCGGATATTCGCTTGGGATGGCCGCTATAAACCCTAGCATCCCACGTTTTGGACGCAGACTGTTTGACCCCCGGGGCGCCCCTGTGGGCGGCTGCGGGCCCGCAGTTAGGCGGGGCATCGTATATGGAGATAACCTAAAACTTTATGCATCGTTTCGTGGTGATACTCGGCAGCCAGGCCAGCGTGATGATCTCGTGAACGGCCTACTTCCTAAAATGGCGCGTCCAGGGGCGCTGGTCGCCCTGGTGGCGGCGCTATCGTGCGGATTGGTCTCTGGAATGAATCCCAGCGCGGGAGAAGTGGGGACGTTGAGCGGCGCCGCAGTGACCAGGCCGGCCGCCAAGGCTGCGGCGCCCGACACTGCTGCCCGCCTGGCGGGCACGCCTGGCACGGCGCCGCCGCTGCAGTGGGAGCTACAGCCGCCGGTGCAGGAGCAACAGTTGCAGCAGCAACAGCAGCAGCAGCAGCAGCAGCTTCAGCAGCAACGTCAGCAGCAGCATCTTCAGCAGCAGGGGCACCAGCAATGGGCACAACTACAGCAGCCCAGTGCCCCGCAGCAGGTCGCTGACGTGGCAGCCCTTCCAGGCGGGAGCGACGCCCCCGCCCCGGCCGCGGCAGTGCCCGCGCCCGCCCGCGGGCCGTCGTCCCCCCACAAGGCGCTGTGGCCCCTGAGCCATGCGGACGTGCTCATGTTTGCGCTGGCGGCCGGCACGCTGGTGCTGGCGGCCGGCGGCGGCATCGGCGGG